GTGCATAGTATATCAGAGAATTCACTGAGCCTTTAACTTCCAGTACAGCCTTTTTGAACAGCTGTTACAGTACGTGGTGTTTAGAGCATTGGAGCTAAAGGAGGAGCAAGTCTGGTTGTTTTTCAAATTTATAATTTTGTTGAAACTAATAAAGACACGATGGAAGGCAGCACATATGTTTTATCGCTTGAATTGCTGCCTTCACAATAGGAAAAATAAAGAAAATGGTTGTGTGTGTGTGTCTTTTGCAGTAAATAGTCATATTTTTGTATTTGTATGTGCATTTACTATTTTTAGGAGATGTGAGGCACACTTGGAGGTAGGAGGGTGGATTAAAATGGGATTTCAGATTCTTGGGAACTTCCATTTTGTGGCCAAAAGTTCTTGGCAACATTTGTATGTGAAATGTTAAACTGAATTTACTGTCTCAGTTCATAGGTAAAAGTAGAAAGTGTTTGCTGTGAATTATTTGCTGTTTTATTTAGTTAATCTTTTAGGAATATTGATTGGGAATCTTAGCCATAACGTTTGTACTTTTTATTTACATTTTAGAATTTCTAAATTAGATATGTGCTATTGTTTTCTTCCCTGCCTCTGGCACACTTTAAGCTGTGTAAGATTACCTTTCCTCTTAGTAAAGAGTGTTTTTTGGCTTGAGAAATATCAACTTAGAAAATTCTTTTTAATGTGTTTTGTCTTCCTCTCCTCTCCATCTGTAAATAGTCGTTATTTCTGTGAAACATTGGTCATCTTTGTTTTAGTTGTTGAAGTTGGCTTTGTCAGCTGGTTTTCTGTGGAAGCAATGGAAGTTATAGTACATTTATTTGAGGAACAATCACTCTTTCTTTTATTCTTCAGGTACTCACCCCATCACTTACCACATTCCAGATGGGAAATGATGGCTAAGAGCAGAAAAGCAGAAAGCTGTTAAACCACCTCTTAGTTTATAGTCCCTCTTAAGAACTTTGAGAGCATATCCAGAGTAGTAAGCTTAAACTGAGTAGTAAGCTTAAACTATTCTCAGTCCTGAACCACTTAGAACTTGAAATAAAATTCACACTGGTAAAGTTTAATACTGATCAGATGAGCTTTGCTAATAAAAACACCGCTTAAGAAGGTGCTACTTTCTAGCTAAAATGTTTCTTATGCAGATCAATGCAGAATCAAACATGCAAGTTTGACTGAGCTCTTGAAAGTAGCTTAAATTCACCTGTTTGACTCCACACTGGAACAGACATGGAGAGCTAATGACAGAGTCAGTAGTAACAGTTAAGAGGTTTAAAATAGCCTGTAATCAGGTAAACTCAGTGGCCCGTGTGGACATACCTTTTCTTATTTCTCGTTTGTCAGAGGAGAAAGTGAAATGTTGCCTTCACCCTAAGCAAGCTGCTTTTTCAATTTATTTAATTTTTTATCGTACTTTTATACATTTTCATACTTGTAACTATGTGAAGAGGTTGCAGATTTAGGAATGCTGTCTCAGGCAGAGCTGAAAGTTGAACCTATTGAAATGCACTTCTTATAGTCTCTTAATACAGCAGAAATTGTCTTTGTGCATTTGTCACTTTACATGTCCATTCTGTTTCGAAAATGAAATTACTGCCTTATTTTGGAATTTTTGTACACCTTTGGTGGGCGGGGGAAGTTGTATGTGTTGGGTTTTTTTTTACTGTGAATATAGGAATTCATTATTTGTGTTTAACTTTCTTTTTGGTTAAAAAAAAAACCAAACCCGCTGAATTATTTCGCACGGTGTTGCATTGGGAAGGTAGCTAATTTAATCTGTTCCAGATCTTGAAGTGAGTTTGTGGGAAACCTCTAAATGCATTGGTTTTCTCTCCTATACAATAAATGAATCCAGTAGGATTTTAGATATGGTCATGTAACACATATTTTGTACATACCCCACAAAATGGACCAAAGTCACTCAGTCAGTAATTCACAACTCAGGAAGTGGTCTCCAGTTTACACCATATCACATAACGTTTTCTTTGTGTTAGGTGAAAGTATCCATACTTAGGTGCATTATATACAAATAACATGTGTTACGTGTCTTAACTAATAATTTATGTCATGTAAATAGCCCTTTCGTTCTATAAGAACCAGACACACTGACTTGTTGGCTAATTTTCTAAAAAAGAAAATTGATTTCCCCTTCTCAGTAGTGTCTCTTGGGTTGTTGTGGAGATGCTTTTATTAGCACAGAGTAATATAAATCAGGACTGTCCTGACAGTAGAATTGCATTAGGTCTTACAACGTATTTTGAATTAGAGAGTTTAGTAATGCAGGCTAACAGCCCAGCTTTGCTTTTTTTAAAAGAAGTTTCTTGATTATCTGATTATGTATTTTGGATGACTTTAAAGAGCCTGGAGGAGTATTTGTTAAAACAAACAATCTGAGATGTTGGAAACATACCTAAATCCAGTACAGAAGAATTCAGGCTGTACCTCTGGTGAAAACCAGACTTAACTCTATACATAGTGTCTCTTAGGAGAATATAGATGCCCCCCAAAAACATATTTCCAGTTCTTGCAAAACAGTATTTGGAAGGGAAAGACGTGAGTTTTTGCTTGAAATTTAAGCATAGTTGAAAAGAAAATGAAATCAAATATTTCAGATTTCCCGCAGGCTGGAAATCCCAATAACAGGATTTCCCAATAACAGGAACACCCACCAACACTCTCCTTCCAAAGCAGAGTATGTTCCCTGATGCCTGTGGCTGTTCATGGAACACTTACTAGTCTCATTGCTGCAATGTCCTCCAGGAGTCTGCATCATCTTGGCAACACGTTATTTAGACTTCCACTTGCCTTACAGAGTCCTTTCCAAGGGTTTATAATTCAAAGTGCTTATGGGGCAGTAAAGAATCTGGAAGCATAGACAGCCCTAACTCCAAAAGGCTTCTCAAAGCTTCCAGGCTCACCAGGGATGCACTTGGAGCTGGGTCTCAGAAGCTCAGAAGCAGGATTTTCAGACTTAACAGCTCAGTGACAGAGAAGCAGTGGGGTTTGACTTGAAAGTCTCTCAGAAGTGGGGAGCCTTTTAAGTCTTCCTAAACACATTGCCTCAGGAAAGGGTTCTGTTCTTCGAGGATCTATGGTTGTTGGGCATTCCTGCTGAGACCTGCCTGGGAGACGTGGGGATTGCCAGGCATTTTGTTCTAGGATAAAATACTGTGCAGGTTATCCAGCTTTCTGGAATTCCTTGCTTAAAAAAAAAAAGAAAACCAAAACAGCTTAGCATCGACCCTTAGGCAGGCTGCTACAGGGCCAAGGCCCTGGAATATGAAGCGTTCCAGGATTTGGACAACCCAGATCCATCCCAAGGTCATAGTCCCAGTAAAGACAGGCATCAAGGCCTTCTTCAGTCCTAGAATATTCTGCTCTGAGATTCTCCTGGACTTCACTAGAATGTGGCTTTGGCTTTAACGGAGCTAATTAAAAACAAGAGACTTTGAGGCAAAAATGTTGGGGCCATGAATAGATATTTTCCTCCGGTCTTATTTTACTAAATAACTGAACAGATTTAGCCAAGTATATTTTTGCTGTTACTTGGTTCTTTGGAAGCAGCAGCTTCTAATCCTGAGGTTTATGCTGCTGCAGTTCTGTCCAATTACCTTTAAAAGCAACAGAGTCCTATACTATCAGATTTAGACTTACTGTGCTTTGGAGCAGAACATTGGCAGCTTGTAAAACAACTTTCCACAGCTGCACACGGGGGAAAACAGTCTGTAGTCTTATTTTCTGTTGTAGGTTGGTTTCAGAGAAGAGAAAGGCCTTGAGTTTGCAGGCAATCTTGGTCGGCAGAATAGTTCCACCAAACCTGCTATTCACTGAAGCATGAAATAGCTTTAATTGATATCAAATAGCAGTTCAAGATCCAAGAGCAGAGGGGCAGGGGGAGAATGAAAAGATAGTCCTTAGTCTGCTGGTTTAAACTCCAGCATAAATACTGCCTTTTCATTGTCTCTAATATGCTTGGGAACTGTTGAATTAATTTTACTAATAAATTAGTGATTTTTTTTTTTTTTTTTAACAAACCAAGCCATTTTAAAAAAAAAAAAAA